CCACTATGAGAAGTTTGGAGACTTTGTCTGGCGCAGTGAGGACGAGCTGGGGCCCAGGTACCTGTCCCTTCCCTGCGTCCCCCCCTGCCCACTGCCTGCAGCGCCCCTCTGCTGGGCCACTGCGGAAATGAACCTCGTTGCCTTCTCCTTGGAGCAGAGAGAAGTTCCCTTCTGGTGTTCACCAAACTGTCCTGCCATCCTCTGGGTTTGCCAGGGCCCCGTTGGTCTTTGGATGAATGTTTATGCGACATCCAGCAGCTGGGTGGTCTCTGGATGAATGCCTGTGGGACATCTCGCAGCCAGCCTGAGCCAGGCGGGTGATACTGCAGATGAGCTGTGTTGGAAAAACTGGGGGGGTGAGGGGCAAAGGGTGTAAAGTCAGCCTGGGACGTAGTGACGGATGCCAACAAGCGGACAGCACCTCAGCTGTTGCCTATATACAGCTTTATGCTAGAAATATTTTCTCTTTACTATACATTTGATGCTCTGAAGAGGGCTGGGAGGGGATCGTTCCTGAGAGTATAAAGAGCAGCCTTTCCGGAGGGACTGCATCTGCAAACCCCCAGCGTACACCGAAAGAGGTGGTGAGACTCTGAGAGATCACAGCTCAGGAATAACAGGTCCATGGACATGCATCCAGGGGACTGGCAGTGTCCCGGTGGTGTCCCTGCAAAGGCCAGATGGCCACCCTTGGGAAACACTCCGCAAGAAATGCTCAGAAGTAGCCGTATCCATCTGAACATCTTGAGATCTCTTATAGGATTCAAATAGCCTTGACCTGCTTTGAAGCTTTTAGAGACAGGGTTCATCCAGCATCCTCGTCTAACATGTTCTCTGAGAAGCTGAAGCAGAGGAAGGTGGAGAAGCAGGGTCTTGCAGTCCATGAATAATTGGAAAAGATTTTCCTTCACTCCCTCCTGCTCCTATCTGCTTGTTGGACCCAGCTGAGGATCTGTCCGTAATACCAGGATGACAGCTCCTCACAACAGTTTACACCCCTCCTCGACGTAAATCCAAGCTGGCCTGGGGCTTGCCCTTTTCCACAGGTGACCTTGGTCACAGTTTCTTTGGTAGTTCATTAGCATCTGGCACGGAGCCACTCTCTTCCTTCCCACTGCCCTCCTCCTTCTTTGATGACACTGCAGACTTGTTTGTCCTTTTCAATTGCTCCTCTCTCTATAAATCCCTGGGAACCATCAGCCTCTTCTTACACATCCTTATTTCCTCCGTTACTTGAGACCCAACGCACTTATTGAAGGATGCTATCTAGCCTGATACCTACATCAAGCCATGAGATTTGCAAGGTGACATTTGGATTGCCCGACTCTGTAGCAAGCAACATCTGGAGTCAGTGGTCGATTCGGCTGCTGTCTGTCCTCCTCGCCGAGCCAGATGAGCTCCTAGCAGTGCTCATATGCCCCGGTTCTGTACTTGAGAAATAGGTGACTTACAGCCAAGGAGAAGCATCTATAAATGCCGTGGCAGCTGGTGCCAGGCTCTTGACAAGAGCGAAGCTCTGCCGTCCAGCCCTGCTTCTCGGGGAGCTTGGACAGAAACGGAGGCACTGACGTAGCAGGAGGCGAGTGAGGCTTTGCCAAGGGAGGCCATCTCCTAACACGATTTTAATTGACGGACTGTTCTCCTTCCCAGGGGGACATTCATTTTCGTACCTTGAAATGTTTATCAGATGAGCCTCAGCTTCACAGTAAATGTTCGCTCATAAAACTGAGCGACAAGAGGGAAGTTGATTGCCTTTGTGTAATAAATACATCACAGTCGAGTCCTCGTGAGCCCAGTTTCCATGAAAGCCACAGGTTACTGCAAACAGCTGCTTGCGAGAAGACACACTGACAGCCAGATGTCCCAACCAGACGGTTTACATTAAGGAGACATTAAAAACTTAGCTCATAGGTGGCCCTAAACCAGGACTTTCTGTGGTCAGCAGCATCTTGGCACCTGGCTTGCCTCATCCTGCTCGTCTCCTTTAGCAACAACAACCCCTCTCCTGCTCCCCCTGTTCCTGTTACGGACACCAAGCGAATCTCACAGAGTTAATTTGTTCCAACAAAACAGAAGACTCTGTCTAAACCGGTGAAGGTTTAATGCTACTGTGCATTCAGACCTTTGGATCTGTGCAGCCAGAGCGCTTCCTGACACAGCGACGGGGAGATTTCTCTGTTATTTTCTCTTACTGTATTTTCGGGACAATTCTTTTGACCACTGCAAACAGAGCTTGGCTTTTAGGAGGAGGCGGGACAAATACTTACGTTAAAATCTTCCTTCCCTGCCCCTCCTTGTGGCTATCAGCAACAACGGGGTCAGGATGTGGCACCAGCCCAGGGCTCGCAGCCTCTCGTTTGCGGAGCGCCCAGGCAGGCAGCCGGGACGGCCGCGGGAGACGCGGTGCATCTCCAGAGCAGCTGCCTTCTGGTACCGAGGGGGAATGCAATGTACTGATGGGAGGCTGTGATAAGAGGCCATCGAGTCCCGGACTCATTGTCCTTTCAGATGAGGGTCTGACAGACCCAGGTCAGTTCTCAGTAGAGTGGAAAAATGTGAATTGATGACAAAATCGCCCCATATGGGAACAGAGCAGCCAGGCAGCCACCCTCTCCCCACAGCAGTCCTGGGAAGCTCATCCTTCTCTTCAGCCCAGGTATCATTTCTTCTTTGCTTCTTCATGCTGGTTTGTTCTCCTTTAGCATCTTCCTCCTAGGTGAGATAGGGCAGCGTTTTGCTGGCTCTGCGTATGCTTTCATCCCACACCAGCCACCCAGGTGAGTGATCACTGTCCCCTGCACAGCCTGGGGACAGACACCCCTGCAGGAGCACACCCAGGGTTGGGCAGAGCAGGAGGGAACGTGTCTCCTGCTCTTGGGCATGTCCTGGCAGAGCTGGGGCTGGCAACCAGGGACCTGGGTGCCCTGTGCCCTGTGCAATCACTGCACCGCACTCCCTCGCACTGGGGCTGCTGGTTCATGCACGAGCCAGAGTGCCCTGGCAGCAGCCACCCGTCCCGCTCCCCTTTCCTCTCCCCCACTGTTCCGCAAGGTACCGCAGCCGTGTAGAGCCATCACTATTTTTAAACCCCCCTCTTCATCATTTATGACCGCGGTTGTGACCTCCGAAATCCATCAGTTAGATGGAGACCAGAATCAGGCCCTGGCTGACGCCGACTTAAAACAACTGCCCCTGCAGCGGGCACGTGGCTGGTGGGAGGGCACTGCTGGCTCGTGCCAACCCCCCGCCCGGACTATGGGGTGAGGGGGAAGGGGTTTGCTTCGTCCCTTTGGGAGCTGAGAGCTCGGGGTCTGGCCACAGGCAGCCATGAGAGTGATTCCCCCCTTGCTCGCTCCCCTGCCGTCCTCTCCCAATTCCTGCCCTTTAATAAGGTAATAAATTACTGCTTCTGGCAGGGATGAGGTTGGTCAGCATTTAGGAAGATTTCATTTCCAGTATTTGAAAAGGTGGTCGTTCTGACCCGACAGCCCTCCGCAGGGAGCACTTGGGTAATACCCAGGGCTTGATTTATGGTGTTAAATTGGCAGCCCAAGAACTGCTCCTGTAATTTATTACCCAGCCTTCACCAGAAAGCCTCTCTCTCTTTCTCACCCCTCCCCTCGCCCGCTCTGTCTCTCTTTCTCCCTTTTTTTTTTTTTTAAGAGGGAACAGCTGACAGCCGAAAGCTAAATCTAACATTTACACATGACTTCATTACCCCACTAAAATAAATGACTCAAAGTGGTGAAACCCATCAAAACCGGGGCTTTGGCACCGGACACGGAAAGCGAGGGGCCTGATCCCCCCCCTCCACATCACCCTGTGCTCTCCTTGACTGTGGTGCGGTGTGTTTTCAGCATCTTCAGCATCCTCGTAGGGCCAACTCATGGCGTGCTGCATCCCACCCTTAAACATCGATCCTTTCCTGGGACCAACTGCATCAAGCACAACTCAGATGCAGGAGGTGTATGGAGACGAGCTCCATGAGGAGCACAGCACATGAGACATCAGCAGGTCTGGATGGGTTGACTCCTGGACTTCTTGCCACCTCGAGCTGCTCCTTACACGTAGGAATGTTTGCCTGAATAAAAGTCCTGAGTATGTATCAGGAAGCAAGGACAACATGGTGATTTTTAGCAAAATCCAGAAGATCATGGAAGTATGGTGCGGCAAGTAGTGAAAATGGGAAGGTAGAGAAGGCCAAGGGAAATGGTGGCAAAGGAGTGAGCAGGTTGTGCGAGGGAGAAGTTAGAGGTGGGTGAAGAAAGCTATGGAGGGGAGAAAGGCAAAGTGGTGAGAAGGGAGGAGAGGAAGAGAAGATCTTGGCTGGCAGGCATCTGTAGGTATGTGCTGGGGAGTCCACCCCTTGCCTAGGTTAGGGCCAAGCCTTGGTTACCCACCACTGGGCTGGCTGGAGGGCTGGTCATGGCCACTTATTGACACTCCCCTCTTGCTATGGCTGAGAAAGCTGGAGTGGGAACCAATCTGAAGGAAACTCCATGGGTTGCTTGGTTGGCCTTTGGATGGACAACTTCCCCGTGTTGGCCACGTGGACACCTGCGCCAGCACAAGCAGATGGGCAGGGACAAGCTGGGGAAGGGGCAGTACCCGCTTCTGGCAGTAGAGGTGATTTATGATAAATAAGGGTGACCATGGGGCTATGGCCTCAGAGAGCTGATAGTTACCATTTTTGAGGAGGAGGGTGTTCTGGCTAACACTCTCCTCCCGACCACTGTCAGCTCACATAAAAGTCTGTCCTATGAGCTGCCCATGGGCCCTGTGCTTGCTTCAGCCTTCCCTGAAAAAAACAGGAGGAATCAGCTTAGATGTTAAGAAACAATTTCTCAGTGTTAGGATGAGTGAGCACTGGAAGGGTTGCCAACTCTTGGCTCTAAGAGCAGGTTCGACAGATACTCATCAGGGCAGGTTGATCCTAGCAGGGAAGTGGCACAGATGATGCCTTGTGGTCCCTTCCTGCACCGGTGACTGTGATTTGCTGAAGTTTGTTAACCATAGTGACAGTCACTACAGACTTTGATTTGCTGCTGAGCTTAGCTTTAATCAATCAGTCTGTACTGAAAGCATCTAGTGCCATCGTAGAGTTTCATAACTTCTTAGCAGCGGGCGTCCAGCACCGAAGGACCTGTTCTTGGCAGTGTGTCAGGTCTTGATGCGCCGTGGGAGCACCAGATGCTGTAGAAGGTCAGGTGGCTGCTATGGAGAGTAGAGGTGTTCTGTCAGAGCTGGGCACAGCTCAGCCCATGACATCATTATTATATATGTGCGTGTATAGCTAACGAGGCTCAAATTGCCTAGTCAGGCTTGTCTTTAGGGATTAAATCGATACATGGATACCATGGAGTGTTGTCCAAGAAGGGCCAGCCTCCCTTTGCTCTTCCCTTCCCCTGGAAAACCCACTCTGAGCCCATCACCCCTGGGGAGGAGCGGGGAAGCTTTCCGCCTGCAGCCCTGGAGAAGCAGTGGTTTCCTACAGCCTTTCATCCAGTCTTCCCGCTCCGGAGGGAGAGGTCTGTAGCCAGCTGGGGATGCCGGGATGCCCTCTTGCCTCCTGCCGCCGTCTCTGCCCTCTGCGCTGGGGATGGGGGGGCTCTGGCCAGCCCTCCCCGGTGTCCCATCCCCGGGTGCCTGCGGGTGTGGGGCCACACGGGGCTCCCAGCACTCCCCCCACCAGCTGGGAGCTCACAGCCCGGGCTGCAACACCACTCAGCTTTCCTAATCAAATAATCCCCATGTTTATGCCTCGCTGACTGACGGCGCTGCCCCTGACATATCATTATCGGGAATTTACATTCCTGCAGGAACTGCGAAATCCCTTCGCCCCGAATCCAGAGCTTTCCTGTGGCACCGGAGGGAGAGGAAATAATCTGTGATCTTGAGACTTTCAGACCACTGAAGTAAAACCTCTTCCCCTCCCTTTGTTTGATTTAGCACTTTACAGACTCCCACGAGGGGATTCTTGGTTTCTTACGGGTTTATTTTGTTTTGTCTTAATGTGTTGTGCTTTTCTTCTGCGCTCTTCTAGTGTCAGTCCTTTTGGGCCATTTGCCTCCTGGAGATTTGGGAAAACAGGAAAGGGAGGGCTGTGCTCGTCAGCTGGGCGCAGTAGGGTGCTGGGGGTCTCAGCAGTGTGCGTGGGGGGCAGCACATGCGCTGGAGCCTGCCAGGAGCACGTGGTGGTGATGGTGGTGACCATCTAGCCAGGGGCAGATGGTGTCCCCAGGGCACCCGAGCTGCTCTAGTGGGTCAGACCTGAGCTCCCTCCAGTCCTGTTACCCAGTGCTGTGAAGTAGTAGATATATCCAGAACTTTTGGGCAAAACAGAACCTCTGTCCACCTGAAACAGGAAAGACATAGTCTTAGGCAACAGGTCTTGTCCGTTCTTGTTGCAAGACAGAGCCAGTGGTGGAACACCAGAGCCCTCTCTCCCGGTCTCCTCTTTACATTGCCCACCCTGCTCTGTCTCCATCGCTGTTTGTCCCCTCCAGGAAGGCACACCTGATCCTGAGGAGGCTGGAGAAGGTCAGCAGCCACTGCTCGACCCTGCTACGCAGTGCCTACATCCAGAGCCGCACCGAGACCATGCCCTACTTGTTCTGCCGCAGCGAAGAGGTCCGGCCGCCCGGCATGGTCTGGTACAGCATCCTAAAGGACACCAAAGTAACGTGCGAGGAGAAGATGGTCTCCATGCTGCGCAACACGTACGGGGAGTCCAAGGGGCGGTGAGGGACGGTGCGGGCCTGGAGCTGTGGGAGGCAAAGGGACTCCGAGGAGTCGAGGACTCGTGATGTGCTGAGTGGCTGGTGGGGTTCGGGGTCGGGTGGTGTTCGGAGGGGGTGGAAGGGGACAGCGAGGCCAAACAGGACTTTCTCACGCAGGCAGCAGAGAAACAAGAAATCAGCGAGTTGGACTTTAATTTCTTTTCCTTTTTTTTTTAATTTTTCAAGAGGAAAAAAAAAAAAAGAAATTACCTAATTTGTCTCAGCATAAAAGCCTCTCCTTTTTAATCTTTTCTTACTAAATTTCCTGGACTACACGCTCCAAAACCCTGGGAGGAGGAGATACCCGCTCGAGGCCAGGGCCAGGCAGAGGGGAGCTGCTGGGCAAAGGGTGACCCCCTCCCTGCCTGCCCTGCCTGCTCCGCCACCGGGCAGGAGCTGTGGGGCGAGGGGCCCCGGTGCCGTGGTGGCCGAGGATGCCGGGAGGAGGTGGCGTGGGCGGCCGGTGACACCGCGCTGCCAGCGAAGGTCCCGGAGGGGGATGCCAGGCAGGTGCGAGGATGCTGCAGGCAAGCTGGGCTTTTGTACCACTCCGAGTCGACGGACCGGCTCCGTGCGCAGCCTTCGTTGGCAAGGCTCCCGGCAGCTTGTTCTGTGCATTAAAGATTCATATTAAGTCCATCTTCTCTGCCTCCTTGGTGTTTCTTCCCGACACCGTCTCGCCGCCGCTTGGGCGTTCGTAGGGTTTCATGACCGGATAGCGCGTCGCCGATGGCTGTCCCCACGCCAGGACGTGGTTGAGATGTAGGGCCATAACTGGAAACCAGCGCTGACCCCAAGAGCCGGACACGCAGAGAGGAGGGGAAAGTGCAGCCTCTTTGCGTAGGGTCCTCTCCCTCCCCAACACCCAGCTCGGCCACCGGCCCCGGCGGGAGCTGGAGACGTGTGGGAAAGCCCAAGAAGGAAGCCAGGGGCTAAAAAGACATGGAGAATCTGGTTTCTTTTACTGTCAGATGTGGGTTAGGCTGGCCCGGGATCCCTGTGGGTAATGGATTTCTCAGCCTGGTAGCCAAACCAAAAAGTGCGGGAGGGTGAGAGGGGAAAAAAACACAACAACCCAACAAAAATCAGATCAGCTCAAAGCTGTTGCTTTTCCTTCTTAAAGCAAAACAATGAACCTGAAGGGGGAAAAGGGAACAGTGTGGGTTGAATGAATCAGTTCAGTCAGCCCAAAGCAAATAGTTTTGTTTAGTTTTTTTCAGGTTATTTAACCCTTTAATGTCAAAGCAAACAAGCAGGAGGTGAATTTCAAAATGAAAATGTTTTGAAACCAAACAAAGGCGCGGGATTTCATGTGGAGGAAATTCAGCCAGAGACTGTTTGTCTTCTTGAGCTAAACCTATTTGTCTGATTTGCACCCACTCAAATAATTCTGATCATTTTATCCAAACTGCTCTTCTTTTTCCCCCTCTCTGGTTATGTCTCTGTTGAGCTACGTTGCTGTGGCACATTCAGAAGGCCTTCAGTACCTGCTCAAAGTCCCAACAGAGTTCACAGAAAACTTTGCCTTGATGTAGCAGTCTGAGGAGCAAGTGCCAAAGCATTGCGGGTTGCCCGAGGTCTTAATTTTTAAGTTAAATCCCTTTTTCTGATGGAGAGGACAGTGACACTGAGGGATCTGGGCTATGGCCACTGTGTCACCGAGGCTTGTGCAGCACCAAGCCCGAGGGCCATGGAGGGACCATGATGCCACGTGTGTTAAATGCCCGTTAACCATCCCTTTGCCCTTCAGAGGTGGCGATGGAGTTCGGTTGTGGGGGTGAAGATGACTGTGACATGCTGCAGATGAATGTAGACATTGCGTTTGCTCGGCCGGAGCTGCCCAGTGCCGGCACAGCACTCAGCCCCCGTCCAGCACCCCGCGCACCAGCCAGGACTGAAGAGCCGGAGTGCACAGATCCTGTACCTCGCAAACGGGGAGACGCCGGGGTGGGAGGAGGTGAGGCAGTATTTGTCCAGCTTTGCTATTGTGTGAAACAAAACACAGCAAAAGCCTCGAAGTGCAGATGTGCGGGTGTCCTGGCTGGTGCCGGGTGTTTCTGGTATCACAGTTTTACACCAAGCTGCTCATTTCATGTGGTGCCACAACACAGTATGTCATAGAATCATAGAATCATGGAATGGTGTAGGTTGGAAGGGACCTTGAAGATCATCGAGTTCCAACCCCCCTGCCCTGGGCAGGGACACCTCCCACCAGCCCAGGTTGCCCAAGGCCACGTCCAGCCTGGCCTTGAACGTTTGATCTAAACCTGCCCTCTTCCAGTTTGAAGCCATTCCCCCTCGTCCTGTCACTACATGCCCTTGGAAAAAGTCCTTCCCCAGCTCTCCTGGAGCCCCTTTAAGGGACTGGAAGGCGGCAATAAGATCTACCCAGAGCCTTCTCCAGCCTGAACATCCCCAACTCTCTCAGCCTGTCCTCATAGAGTAGGTGCTCCAGCCCTCGGATCACCTTTGTGGCCTCCTCTGGACTTGCTCCAACAGGTCCATGTCCTTCTTATGTTGGGGGCTCCAGAGCTGGAGGCAGTACTCCAGATGAGGTCTCACAAGAATGGAGTAAAGGGGCGGAATCACCTCCCTAGATGCGCTGCTGCGGGGGGGAAAAACCCCAAAAATCTCTTTGGAACCACTGATGGAGGTTGACCGGGACTGATCCTCTCTTCCCGGCAGCTGCAGAGCAGACAGGTCCCCCCGGACACTCAGCGGGACATGGCACACGCCAGGACCTCCGGGGCCAGCAGCAACAGCGCAGAGCCCGGCTGGTCCCGGCGCAACGGCATGTTACTGCTGGGAGCACCTCCGCGGGCTTTGAAGCCGTCTTGTTTTCTCAAGGCTCTGGCCCGCAGCCGTGCCTTTCCCTGTATTTTACAAACATGGTGTTTTATTTTGTTTTTGTTTGTTTTTGCTCCGAGATGATTCATTTCTCTTGAAAGCCCCGTGCGGTGTGTGCTGCGATGGGGAGCAGCTCTGCGGTTTCACTGCAGGCGAGAGCCGGTGTTGACCGACCTGACGGACAAATTGCTTGTGTTTTCTGTAACATCGCCGAGGGGACCAGAGGCAGCATTAGATGTGCCGGGGCTAATGCTAGTCGTGGGATTCCTGACCATCAGGAGTGTGGTGCTAGGCGCTAGGAATGGGAGATGCCAGCCAAAATACGGGGCGGCTGGCTGGTTGCCCTTCAGCACGTTTTTCTCCGCTCTGATACAGTGAGTTTCCCCACAGTGGTATTTTGTGCCCATGGGATACCCATCCCAGCGCAGCCCCTCTCGGCAGAGCTCGAGGGGAAGGGGCAAAGCCCAAAACACAGAGCTGTTTTGCTGCAGGCGGTGATGGAAAGGAGACCTTCCACTCCGGTAGCCCTCACTTCTGCCGAGAATAGCTGAGCGGCACGAGGACGGGCTGTCCCCCGGCTCCCTGCCACAGCTGCGTCCGCGGCAGAGACCGGAGCCTTAATTCTCGCTGCTTACCTTGGAAAGCTGCTGAAGGGCTTCACTTCGCATCCTTGGTGAGGCCGGCTGTTGCGTACGGGTGCGTATACAGAGCGAGTTGTGTGTGAGCCTGTGTTAATATGTACACAGCAGGTGGAAGAGTCTAGACTCCCGGGCAGGAAGGCTGCGGGGTTTGACGGCTGTTAACCCGTGGAGAAGCGCACCTAGCGCCCCGATCAAAGCCAGAAGAGCTTCTGGCCGGTGATGCTACCTGGCACGGCGTACCCAAGCCAAACAAAACCGAAGAATTCGTCGAGGTTACACATCCTTCAGTGCACGGCTGAAAGGAAGGGTCTGTATTTTCTCCCTGGAAACTTTGGAGAATGTAACCCTCCGGTTTTCAAGATAAACAGTTGTAGTCACAGCCCAGCAATGCTGGCAGATGGACCCGTGCCCCGTGGTGTGCACACACACGCACCCCCTCACCGTTCCTCTGGCTCCCTTAGCAAAAAGGCATCCCCGCTCCAAAGCAAGTTGCTGCTGCCCCAGGAGCTGACTTCTTGGGCCAAGCCATCCCCCGACATTGCTTGGCAGAGCAGGGGCCAACGCTGTCCTGGGTGGGGAAAGGACCAAGGGGTGGGTGAATATGAAAAGCGAGTGGGGAGAGGGGCAAAAAGATGCAGTCATCCAGGTTTAATAGATAAACTACCCACATGCATTGGCAAAGCTGAAATTGTTTGCCTGATGGCACGAAGCAGGGAAGGGTACCCTGGCATCAATGGCTCCTGGGCAGAGCCACCAGCTTTAAGAAGAGTTCAGGTCAAAAGGAGCGAGCTCCTCCACGTGCCTGTGCAGGGAGTGCACGTGCAGGTGACGGCATCAATAGCGCGGTCACGGGTGCGCGCAGGGCATCCACTGCTCCCTGCGCAGCCTGGCCCCGCTCCCACCGCCCGCGCACCCCCAGCACCCCCTGAACCCCAGCTCGGCACTGGGAGATGGTTCCTCTGCAGAGGCTGCTCACTCTTCACCCTACGTTTGTTCACACTTCTCCTTTTAACAAACACATTCACTTTCAGCAGCCTTTGAATGCCCCAGCGGGCACGCACCCTTCTTAAGGGCACCCCAACTCTGCCATTTGTTTGGCAGCTCAGAGCTGGTGACAGCCGCAGGTCCCCTCCCAGGGCTGCGTGGAGCTGTCCCCTCCCGAGGAGCAGAGCGGCCCTGAACAATCCCCATTGTCCCCATGGCCATTGTTCCCCACCGCCCTCGTCCCCGCCGGGCGGTAGCTGGCACGGCGCACAGAGGGGCCGATTGTTTGGGTCGCTGCGCCGCTTTGGGACAGCTTCTTCCCACGGCGAAGGCCTCCGGAGTCAAGTGCTGCGTTTGCTCCTTTATTTGTTTGTTTGGTTTCTGCTTTTCCTCTTTTTTTTCCTCTTTTTTTCTTTTTTTTTTTTTTTCTTTTTGCTTGGTTGGCTGAGGCTCTGCTGAGGCGGGGGAAGAAGCCGAGGCAGTGCCACAGGCT